ATCGTTAAAAGTACTCTTTAAAAGATTCTCCTTCATTCTAGCAAATCCTAAAAATATGATACGAAACATTAACAATTCTTCAATTTATAATAAATTATTTGATAAATATTTTAATCAAATTGACAAATGTGAAAATAGTTTCAGCTATAAGCGAATAAAATCATGTTCGAGATGAACGCATTTGAGGCTCGCTAAATATACATAATGGTTATATAGTTATTGATATTCTCATAAGGTTTAGACATCCCTTTGTACAAATTTATGGCTTGTAATTTGAAGCCTGGCTGAACGGGATATTGAAGGATGGCATCAATCTGGGTTGATGACTCCTGAAAGCCGTGTTGATGAAGAGAAGTCCTTCCACATCTCATTGGGAACTCTTACCAAACCAGTCATAGTAGTTCATAACATAAAGCGTTGTGTGTGAGATAAGTAACATGTGGTCGATTTAGGTCTTCAACGATAATTAGAGGAATGTGGGGTGACCGACCAGTGTAACAAGAATGGGTAGAGCTTGTTGTGTCAAAAAGTTCATTATCTTGAAGTGATGGGAGATGCACCTTGACGAAGGGAAGGGGGTCTTGCTTAAAATTGCTCAGGTCGAATATCTTCGATAAATAAAAAATTTTGAGGGAGATGAATCTCCTCTTGTTGTGCTAACATTGATTGCTGAGTCTCTAACAGAAGTTGAAGGATCTCATTTTGAGATTCTTCCATCTTTTAGATATATTCTTCTAGGGAAGGTCTTAAAGTTTTTTTCCAACAAGGTTTCACCCTTCTGGATAAAAAGAGGCAGATGATTGACGTCCCTGATTCTTAGATTTATGTATGTTGGAGTAGGAAGCTCCCAAGTTGTAATTGTTATGCCTATTGGCCATTGAAGTCGTTCTTAGGATAGTGGGGTTTAGATTCCCATAAATGGCACCAAACTATTGTGGGATAGAATATTCATGACTATAAAGTAGGTAAAATTATGCGTCTTAGCATTGTACGAGTATGCATCTCATAAACAAAAATGGTAAAAATACAATAACTTTTTTATGTAGAAAATTCTAAAGGGAAAAACTACAGTGCCATGGCAAGTTAAAATTATTCTACTAGTGTTTTTATATATTACAAATGAATGGTTCATCCTTGAGACTAAGGATAACCAGATTACAACAATCAACTGTCAAGTTGAAATCTTGTTACAAACATTGATCAAATGGAAATCTAATAACATTTGGTGGACGTGCAAAAATCCTGAGTCAATTGGTGGCTGGGAGGAGTTCAGTAATAGTTGGTGGTCTGGTGAAATTCCTGCGATAGTTAGTTGTCGGACGGAAGTCCAACGACAATTGGGGGTTAGGCAGACGTTTAGAGATAGTCTCACTACGATAGGTAGCCAGGTGGTGGTCGGTGAGAAGGAATATGGTATCAATATAACTCATATTTCTCTATATTCGTTCTCTTCCTTTTATTCTAGCTTGGGCCTCCCTTCACTAAAGATTGAGGGGTCTATTTATAATTTTTTAAAGTGGCATGGCCAGTATATCGAAAAAAAATTAAGGGCATATTAGTAGTGTGTTAATGGATGGTTGATATTGACTCCCTTAATTATATACCATTTATAAAGTATTTAAGTATCTTAATATCATTACAGTTTAATAATATTGGGCTTATTTGATTTCTCTTGTCAAGTTGCTCGATTCGTTTATAAGCATGTTGTGCTTGGAAATCAATTAGTCGTCCATTTTATGGTTTGAACCTTCCAAATGCACTTCGTGTCTTCGATTTGGATGGAATTGGGATCATATTGGGTCAAGGGTCAAATTTGGTGTCATTGGGTTCGTCTTTTTGAGATGTTCACTTTGATTATAAGTTTATCAAAATCAAAGTTCAAATGCTCCCGTATTTACTTTTGAAAGCTTTTGGCTCAAAATTACTTAAATATTCGTGCTCGATTAAGATACTTTTTTATGATGTATCATTAATATTTGTGCATCCTGAAATATTGATGATGATATAGAAATATAAAGTTTAATGTCTTAGATTTTTATAAAGGTCTAGCATATATACATATAAAAAATAGTGTGCAACATTTATAAGAGATACCAGAGTTCTTAAGTAGAAAATCCTAAAAAAGGAAAAAACACTAGGCCTAGCCCAGTTTGAATGAATCCACTAGTATTTGAGTCAATTACAAATGAGGTCCTTCCTTTGGGGAAGACATTGGCTTGATGTAGTAATTATAGATCATATATAGTGCATTACATTATGGGAATTGGAAGAATTAGTATTGATATATTTATTTGGTTAGCAGGAACATAGTCAGCGAACGACGGATGTTAAAAAGACTATAGTCAGATGACACTGGTCAAAAAGGCCATAGTCGTTGGGCAAGGAAGTTCGAAAAGACTATTATCATGTGATAGAGGTTAGATGGACCATATCAATGAATGTTATAAAGACCATTATCAGGCGATAAAGGTTGGAAGGACCCTAGTCAATAAGCAATGGAAATATTGCAGTCTAATGATAAAGGTCGGATGAATTGTAGTTGGCAGACGATAGAGGTCAAAAAGACTGTAGTATAGCGACGGAAGTCGGAAGGATCGTAATTGGCGGGAGATGGAGGTTAAAAAGACCGCAATCTTGCAACGAATGTCAAAGGATCGTAGTTAGTTGGCGACAATGGTCAGAAAGACCGTTGTTTGATGATGGAGGTGATCAGAAGGATCGTAGTTGGTGGGTGACGGAGGCATAAATACTGTAGTATGGAGACATATGTTGGAAGGACTATAGTCGAAAAGCTACAGAGGTCAGAAAGATCGTAGTCTGGCTACGAAGGTTGAAAGGATAGTAATCGGTTGACAACATAGGTCATAAAGATTGTAGTCTAGTGATAGAGGTTGGAAAGATCGTTGTCCGTTGGTGACAATTGTCAGAAAGATAGTTGTCTAGCGATAGAGGTCGAAAGGACAGTAATCGACAGACGACAAATGTCAGAAAGACTGTAGTTTTGAGATATATGTCAAAAGAATTATAGTCGGTAGATGATAAAAGTCAAAAAAGATAGTAATCTGGCTATGGTGGTCGAAAATACCATAATTTGATAACATAAGTCAGAAAGATTGTAATCTGATGATGGAGGTCTGAAGGGTCGTGATCGACGTGCGATAGTAGTCAGAAAGATCATAATATAGTGATGGAGATGGAGGTTAGAAGTACCGCAATCAGCGGGAGATTGTGATTAGAAAGATCATTGTCTGGTGATTGAGGTTGAAAGGACTGTAGTTGGAAGAACCGTAGTCGACGGGTGGCAGTGGGCAAAAAAACTATTGTCTAGTGAAGAAGGTCGAAATAACCTCAATTTGTCAATGAAGATGGACCGTAGTCGACAGGTGAAGGTGGTGGAAACATTTTTAGTTTGGCGACAATTGTCGGGAGGAGTATAATCGGTGGGTGACAGTGGTTATAAAGACCATTGTCTAACGAAGGAGGCCGGAATGACCGTTGTCTAGCGACGAAGGTGCATCATAGTAGGTAAGAAAATGTGGTCTGAAAAATCTTAGTATGTCAAAGTTTGTCAGGGGGATGGGGGAAGTTCGACGATAATCGGTGGTCGAGAGTAACTCCGACGACTATCAATGGCCTGGCGGAAGTCCGATGTCAGTTGCTAGCCGGGCATGAGTCCGATGTTAGTTGGTGGTTGGGCAGAAGTTCGGCATCACTGTTGTCAACCGTTTGGTTATCCAATTTATGATTTGAACCTTCCAAAGATGCTTTGAGTCTTCGAGTTGGACCCATTTGTGCTCGGATTGAGTTGAAATTGATGTCGTTGGGTTTGTCTTTTCGAGACATTCATATCAACTATAAATTTGCTAAAATCAGATATCAGATGGTCCCAAATTTAATTTTGAAATTTTCCAACTTGATTTTGCCTCTAGATTCTTGCCCATCGATATATCAAATATAGTTGGTTGATTGATCTCCACCACTTCTAAGGTGTACAATGGAAGAAAGACAATAAAAGTTTCTTTTTAATTATAGTTTGGACAAGTCCACCAAGAAAGTCCAATAAAAATTATATAATTAGAGTGAAAAGCACCCAACCTCAAATCTCAATGGCCTCGTATCAATTAAATTATTTAGTACTACATCACAGTGACGGAAATATTTTACTTTAGAATCTTATAAAAATTGACTGTAATTATATAAAGGTCTTGAATTTGATCTGTATAAATATAATATCTAAGTAATTTATATTATAATCATTTCAACAAAATTATTTATATATCAATATTTTGATCACATTTTTATCAAAATAGACTTAGATTTTATTTGAGATGATTTTTTTACTATTTTTTAAAATATTTTTTTAATTAAAATTTAATTTTTATACTAAAAATCTATTTTTAAAATAGTAAAAAATCTATTCAAAAAAAATCATAGGTTTCTTTTGGGATAGCTTTCTTATTATTTTTATAATAACTTTTAGTAACAAAATTTCTTTTAAAAAAATGAAAATATAATGATCAAAATGTGTCCCAAATGAAACACAAAGCAATTACAAAATTTATATGCAAATTTATTTTTTGATAAATTCAAAGATAGATGCACTGAAATTTATATAAAATAATTAAATACTATGATATAATAAATATTTAATAAAATAGATGATAAAATTGAGATGAAACAATTTTCAAAGCATCATAACGCTTTTTGATCCCACGAAGAAAGCCTTTCTTCCTATAGAGTGACATTTGGAGCTACGTTACGCAAATTTGAAAGATTAACTCATAAGCAACGTATATTAGGTGCGGAGTGCGGAAAGGAGAGCCGTCCGCACAAGTACTATATCCAGCTAGGTACCGGCACTCGATACCTCTAGGTACAAGTACTTGTGCAAACGGTGCCCACTCCGCACCTAATAATTCTTCTCTTCCCACCCACCCTTTACCCTTTCCCCGCAGCAAAATCTATTAAAATCGTCCCCAAACACCATCCCTTCCTGCGCAATGGACAGACTCCTCCTCCTCCTCCTCCTAATCCTCGTCGCCCCCCTTCTCACCGCCGCCGGTGGCCTCAACGCGAAGGAGCAGCTGATCCACCTCCGCTTTTACTGGCACGACATCCTCAGCGGGCCGAATCCGACGGCGGCGACGATAGCCCGCAGCCCGGTTACGAATGCGTCGGCCACTTTATTCGGCTTGGTGAATGTCATCGATGACCCATTAACTTTGGGGCCAGATCTGTCGTCCCGGCAGATCGGCCGCGCGCAAGGTATTTATGCATCGGCGGACCAGAATGTGGTAGGTCTTCTCATGGCGATGAACTTCGTATTCGTCGATGGGGAGTACAACGGAAGCACATTGGCGGTGATGGGGCATAATCAGGTATTCTCTAAGGTGCGGGAGATGCCGATCGTCGGCGGGACGATGCAGTTCCGCCTCGCGCGGGGATACGTTCAGGCCATGACTTACAGCTTCCAACCGGAGACTGGGGACGCCGTCGTTGAGTACAATTGCTACGTCTTGCGCGGATCCGATTACTAGAAGCCGCTTGGAGGGCCGCAGCTACTAAGAGAAAAATAGGTTTTCAAATAAATGTTTCTGATAAAAAAAAAAAAAAAAGTTTCTGAAAAATATATTTCAAATAGATGGTCGGGTTTTTAATATATAAATTTGAATTACATGCTTTATAATTTATCCCACGTCTTTAAAAAAAATAATTAAAAATTAATTTTGGACTCCAATTTTTATATTATTATTATTATTATTTTAATAATTGGGTTGTTTTGAGATAGATGCAACTTTTTATAAAGTTGATAATTGGTTTCATTTGGGACAATTTTTTTGTTGCTTCTTAAATCAATTTTTTAGTACAAAAATGATAGTTTTATACTAAAAAGTTGATTTAAGAAGTAATAAGAAAGCCGTCTCAAACAAAAATTATTGTGGACAAAGTAGTTTTTTGAAAAGCTGATGTAGAAACTAGTTTCCTCTGATAAATTTTCTGAAATAAATGAAAAAATAATGGACATAATTAGGCTAGGCTGGCTAGGACAAAGTAGCTTTTTGAAAAGCTCTTACTCTTTCTGAAATAAATGAAAACTTTTAGGAGATAAATTTTTAAATTGAATAAGGAAATAATTAGGCTAGGCTGGCTAGCTTTTATTTAATTCTTTTGTTCATACAATGAAAATCACACATATAGATCATCTTCTCAACAAAGCTTAAGGAATGAAGGTCCTCAAATCGACCCTTTTTCTTTGGGACACTATTGCTTAACATTTTGCCACTCCCATTGGAATCTTTCTTCACTGTTTGAGACTCTACTTTATTAACCATACCACACTTTTCTTTATTAAGAAAGTCTTTGATATAATATACCTCTTTAGATAGACGTTGCAACAATAAAATCATAAAGAATATGTAGTATTTATTTTCTGGTTTCGATTTATTGCGTGTCGAAACATCCACGATAGTAGAGGGATATAGGTTTAACATTCTAGTTTTATATGAATATCCAGCACACATACATACATATGAGAGGGAGGGCTGCAAGAGTTATAAGATATCTGAATTTCTATATGAAAAATCCCAAAAGGGAAAAAAACATGGGGCCTTGACTAGTTGAAATGAATAAACTAGTGTTGGTCATTGATTATAAATGACGCTCCTCCTCTGAAGAAGGTGTTGACTTAATATAACAAATATACATTATATAGTTGGAGTTGAGATAATCCAATGATATGAGAGTTCCTCTCAAAAAAGTGTTGGCATGTTCATTTGATTGGTAAGACTGTATTTATGCGACAAAAGTCGAAGGGACTGTAATCAACGAGCGATGATGGTTGAAAGGACCATAGACGAACAACAATGGTCGTAGGGATCGTAGTTGGAGGGCGATGGAGGTTGGAAGGATCTTAATCAGACAATGGTGTTCAGAGGAACCATAATCAGTGGGTGACAGTAGTCGAAAAGATCATAGTCATGCGATGGTGGTTGGAGGGATTGTATTCAAAAGACGATGGAGGTCATCTGGACTATAATTAGGTGATGATTATTGGAGGTATTGCAGTTAGCGATCCAAACTGAGAGCACGTAATAATTTTATATTTTTTAATATAAGTTGGGGTCAATATCTTGTACAGTTATTCTACCGTTTAGTTGAGCGGAGAAGAGAGAATCTGATAACAGAGTAAAAGAACAAGCAACCATAAATTCTTATCAAATAAATTATACATTGGAATCTGCGAAGTCTTTATAAAAGTTATTCAGCGCCAAGCCACCAAGTGGCGAATTCAATTAGGAAACTAAAACCAACCTATTTTTTTATTCATTTAAAAAAGTCCAGTATATATAGATACATGAACAAATGAATAATTTTATGAAGATAAGACTTCAAAAACTAAAAGCCTAAAATAATAATTAAAAAATAAGAATAAAAAAATTTATTGTGATTCTTCATGAAAGATTGAAATGGTCTGTAGCTTTTTTTTATTGACTAGTGTAGCTTGAACTTAAATTGATCCTTTAAAAATATGAGGCTGACCACTTAGAATTTTGAATAAGATTGGCCATATGTAGCTCGATCGCATACGGATGGGAAACCAACCATATACCAACCACTTGGCAATCAAATTTCAATTAAGCTTCAACCACCTCTACTTACCCTCAACAAATTTTAAAATTTTAAACAAATAACAAAATAAATTATTGGAAATAAAAAATTTGTGATGTAGGCATCCTATAGTACTACTGATACACTAGATAACTGGATTGGACAATCCTAGCGATAGCCCCATCAACACATAATCAGAAAAATAACTTAGCAAGATTAGAGCCATTCAAATGTTTGTGTGTTATAGCGAAAATTTCTGAATCTTTTTGCACCATTCTGCATATAAAGACTAATAGTATTTTAAAACTATATTACAAGCACCAAGTCAATGTTCTTTCATTTCAACCTACTAACAAAGGTTGAAAACTGTAATTAGGAAAATCAAAATCTTACTTTATTATGAAATGCCATAGGAAGCAAATCGGCCCTAGTGTTTTGTATTGGAGAATGGAATCAATAATCAACATGTCTAACGGTAAGGAGAGGGGGTGGTTAGGACAAGATCTGTGGCGATTCCGCCCCACCCGAAAGCTTCTTTAACCCATGGAGAGCCTGCCGCCGCCAAAGCGTCTTCCTGATTCCCGTCCCTCCTTCCCAGGCACTGCACGCAACACGATCGATCGACTATAAGTGTTAGCTGTAAGAATGGACAAAAAGGTAGACCTTTATAGAAGGTTCGTGGGTGTACGTACGCGTGGGATGATCATGGTGCAGATAAGGTTCTCCGAAGCAGAACCTCTCTCTGGCTGCAGATGTATGGGGACCGCCACTTCCTCTGAAGCGGGCTGATCTGAGGGAGGTGGCTGCAGGCCAGGCGCTGGCAAGAGCTGCAGCTTCGGCGTTGATGCGGTTGAGCTAGAGGCTGAGGGGGGCCCACCGCCGGGGAACACCAGCATATGCTGTTTTTCTTCAGCCGATGCGGCGCTGCTGCCCGCCATGCTCGGCCACAGGAACGTCCCCTGTGGCTTGCAGATCTTGAAACCGCTTGTCCTCTTCTGTTTTTTGCCTCCAGCCGCATTGCCGTTGCTGATCTCATTTTCGATATTGACGTCGCTGGTTTTGGTGTTTCCGTTTAGCTGCACGTCTCCGTCGTCTACCTGCTTTTTTGCCTGCTTCAACAGCTGCACGTCATCCTGCATCACACCAATCCTTGCTACATGCTTTTTTTCTTAATAATTCTTTACAATAATTAGTATGAGGGATTTATTAGCTCGAACAGTTTGAAAGTATATCCTCAAATAAATTTACATTTCATAATATATTTTTTAGATTTCCACTATATTGTTGACCTAATTAACTTTATCTTCGGATTTGTGTGTTAATCTAAGACGCAAATAACTATTGTAATTCAGGAAAACTTGAATGGAAATGAAATTTTAAAATGGACCTTAAGCTCTTGCATGCAATCGACCAAGGCAGCCAATTCTTCCTCTTGCTTCCTTTTCCACTCCAGCAAAATCTGGTATTTCTCCTGTAAAGATGAATCCAAGAATATTATCAATGCTCATTAATTTGCTATTGCATGTCCACGAGCCAATCAAATTAGAGCAGCACTCTTCATTAAACGCTACTCACGTGTGTGTTTACTATTTGAGTTTCAGATGGCCTCTAATTTGAAGTTTGGTTATAATTAGAAAAGAAGAGGCAGAAAGAAAGTAAACTAAAAAAGCAAAACACCTGCCATGCGCCGATGGCATTCTCCCATTCCACTTTTATGTTTTGTGTGTGCTTTTCCAGCTTCTTCAGCGAAATCTGCTGCTCGTCGTACCTTGAAAAAGAAAATATAAATAAGACCTAGAACTTTCACATGAATTCAAGCGTATTGATATATAATTATACAACATCAAAAGACAAAAAGACAAAGGCGAAAGCTAGAGGGAGAGAGAGAAGGAGAAAGGGAAAAAGAAGAGAGAGAGAGCGTGTGTGTAGGAGAGATATCGTGCCAGTGTGAGTGGCGATATTATTAAAGGTTTTAAAACTAAACAACATTAAGAAGGAAGTTGGAAGAATCTGAAATTAAGCCCATTATCAATTTAATGCATCTGCTTATTACCATTTAATGATATCTAATCCTTAATGGGAGCTCACTTGTTGGGTTCATCGGCAGATATATTCTTAGCGGAAAACAGCACTTACCAATCACCCAAGTACTACCAATCCTACAACTTAGGAGAAAAATCAGCACACTCTTTCTTCCCTGTTGATTCCTCCCGTTTATCATAATTTTAGCATGCTTTAAGAAGTACAGGGTTCATATAAAATTATACCTGATTGGCTAAAATGAAGGATGCAACTTCATAGAAAGTGTGCATTGAGAGCAGAGGAAACTGTAAATTCCACCTGCTCTAGGGTGATAATTATTCCAATTTTGTTAGCATAATATTATTTTATTATTAACTTTTATATGTTGAATTATATTTTATTCATTCAAAATTTCAATATTAAGTTAGAAATATATCTAATAGAAACCAGATTATATTTTGTTGCGAGAGGCTTATTTTGAAAATTTGTTTAAAACACTATTACTCTAATGATTTCTTTATTTTAAGTTTTATTATTAAATATTTGGAGACTTTAAAATTTATCATAAAATTCTTATCTATTAAAATTTTATCATAAATCCAATGTATAAAATTATTGACTCACATTAAATTATAAATCACATACAAATATCATTAGCATGAATTAATTTCAAATGAAATATTTAAATATTATGTATATAAATAACTAAAAATTCTAGGAGGGAGCGAGATAGAGTGAGATGGACCTTTTGAACTGCGCGGCGAGTTGTTGTTTGCAGTCAGCTATGGCAAGTTTGCAGTCGAGGCCACAGGAGTTAGGGAAGATGGAGTCCCCGAGCTTCCACCCCGGCGGTGGGACCCAGAAGGGGTCGGTGACGCCAGCCTTCCGGCGGACCTCCACTAGGTCCGCTGGCTCGAGCCAGTACTCCATTGCACCCTCGGAATTATGACGGCGCCTAAACCGCTCAGTCCCGTCAGAAACGATCTTGCCGGCCATGTGTTTGAGTAAATGATCCAGCAAACCAGTGTCGCCGATGTGCTTCCTTGCCTCCTCCCTCAGTGCTTGCCTAAGTATAGGCCTACCCAGCTCTGCTTTCTTCAACCTCATGATCTCAAGCAACCGCTTCTCCGCCGCCTCATACCTCTCCATAGACCAACGGTCCTTTGTCCCGCGTGGAAATCTTACTTCCTGATCCTCCTGCTCGAGCTTTAACCTCTTGGTTTCCCTTGCAGCAACCTTCTTTTTCTTTTTCTTATTCTTCTTCTTACCTTCTTCCTGATTCCTCTTCCTCCCATTTACGCTTTGTTGCTCCTCCATTACAGCCTCCGTCTTCTGCGCTGACTGATCGCAATGCCGCCCAATGTACTTAATCTTTCTCCTTATCCCCCATCCAACTTCCCCTGCACACTGGAGGGCTAGGTGGCAAGATCCCATTGATTTAATCGGCTTCGTGACTTCCTGCTCTTCCTCAGGTCCAACGAGTGGCAGCTCGCCACCTTGAGATGGAGTCAAAAGCCAGAAGCTCTTCAGACGCTTTCCCGCCTCCAGCTGCGAAGGGGGTATTCGCCGGCAAAGAATCCGCCTGGCTTGGTTCGAACTCATGACGAACTTCTCATCGAGCTCCGGGAAGCAGATTCCATTCTGCGCTGCGACGAAGTAGCTTCGCAAAGACAACGTGCTCGGAAAACTCACCGTAACGCCCAACAACGTCGTCTCGCTCACCTGGAAATAGAATGGAAATAAACAAAGACCAATCAGCCTTGGATGGAAGAAACAAGTCAGAAGATCCACCAACACGGCAAAGGAAACTCTGACCATCACTACTCGGATTGCCTTTAGCTGGATCGGAGATTTCGGTGGAAGCTTTTCGTGATCGATCTCGAAGAACGAGCCCGGTTCGTAACGCCCTAAGCTCCAGAAAAAAGAAATCAAATAATTAAATGAGAAATGCATCGTTTACGTGCAAGATGTTTTTGCCTAACTAATTGAATCGCTATTGACAGAGATCGTGTGAGAAGCGCTATCAGAATCACAGTAGAGAGGGCGAAGAGAAATAACCGGCGCAGGGAAATGGTTGGGCCGAATCGGCGATGTACAGCATCTTTTTTTCTTAAAAAGTCACTTGTCAGACTCGTTCGGACTGGCTCATTTCCGTTCAGGTAATAGTACTTTACCTGCCATCCAGTAAATTAAAATGAAAGCCATAAAAAATCATCATAGCGATTAGCAGCCTACGCAGCCTTGCTCGCGAGACATAAATAAATCAAATGCCAAAGGCAATAAAGAATCCTTTGAAATGGACCCACTGGATAGCCGCGATCCCGCCGTTCTTTTCCAGGTCGAAAAAGAAAAAAATAATAAAGAAAACAAAGGTCGAAGAATACCGTCACTCTATAAGCAGTTGTGTGGAAGGAAGATAACCAAAGAAATCATGAGAAATTGGGATAACTTTCATTAAAAATGTAAGATGGAAGCCTTTTTAGGCTTGCTCATAGCGCAGGCAACCTTCCGCAGCTTCCATAATACTTGCGAAAATAACATAAGAGTGGTGAGCGTATTTTAAATTTCTGATCTCTGCACAAGCATAAAGAAATGCTAGAGAATCAAACCACCTTACTCACCATCAGCTTTCTGAAAAAGAAGCAACCAACTATCTTTTCTGCAGAATAAAGACGAGGAGGAGTCCAATTTCATTTAATGAGATCAAGAGCCGAGATAAGAACACAAGATATCTGGATCGATGAGTACAGAAAGGAAAGAAAAGCTCATCAAAATGGGTGTGCTTATCTGCGGCCTAATCTTAATCTAGAGTAAGATATCACATCATGCAAGAATCGCTAGCTTTATAGAACAATCGATCACAATATTGTTGATTTTCAATCGGAAAAGATCAATGCGAGAATTATCATTCAAACCAAGCGAAAAGAAGAAAGACAGATACTCCGATAACCGGATCGATCTTACTACTGAAAATCTACCACCAAACCGGCATTCAAAACTCCTTGAAGTAAACTGATATAACCTGGAAGAAGCTCATTAGTTCAAAAATGATCGGCAATGACGATTGCTAAAGAAAACTAGCATGTTCTTAATTCCATAAAAAAACCAGATCAAATTATGCAAGAAATAATAAAGAACTTTTTGGATGAAAAATTACGCTAGGACGGATAATCTTGGATAATTACCAAAAGTTCCTCTCAGACGCTTCAGAGCTCTCTGTCTCTCGGTCTCTCTTTCTCTCCCACCCTCCCTCTCGCTCTCGCGCTCTCTCTCTTTCTCCTTGGGGGGCTGAGCGATTTTGCTCTCAGAGGGTGTGCAGATGGGGAGAGTGATTAATAGGTGAGGTGTTTTTGCGCGACCTGACAGTTGGGGAGTGATTGGAATCCTAACAAACCGAGTGCGAGCGCGCGAGTACAGCTAGAGCCGTATGGGCAGGGGGGAATTTAAATAAATAAATGAAAATTTATATACATTTTATTAAATTTAAATTTGTTTTAACATTTAAATATTTATTTTTATTTTTACAACATTTTAATATTTTAATCATATCAAAATTTACACATAAAATATAAATTTTAAGATATAAAAAAATTGTGCTTTAAAATCGGAAGATTACATGCGTGTTTCCATTTGGACTACTGGTAAATAAATTTAAGATAAATTACGTATCACCTATGAAGGCACTAATGAAGTTAGGCAATCTCGTTTGAATATTTTATTGTATGATTACGAATAGGGGTGTCAATTCGGGTCAGCGGGTCGGGTTCGGGTCCAACCCACAAAATTCGGGTCAGCGGGTCTGATTCGGGTCTAACCCGCAATGACCCGAGTGTAAACGGGTTGACCCGAATCCGACCCGTTTGATTAAACGGGTCTGGTTGGCCAACCCGGACCCAACCCGAGCGGGTTTACTAGTTGACCCGACATTACCCGTTGACCCGACATTACCCGTTGACCCGAACATTTCCCATTTTTCTGCTTTCCGCGGGTTGTTCGGGTCGACCTACGGGTTGACGGGTTGACCCTAACCCGAACCGGACCCGTTTCGCTACATACATTGTTACAACTTACAAGTATACACTATACAATTATAAGCTTCGCGGGTTATTCGGGTCGACCCGCGGGTTGACGGGTTCATCCTAACCCAACCCGAATATATAAACGGGTCTAATCCTTAAACCCGAACCCGGCCTGTTTCTTTCACGGGTTGACCCGAACCCGGATTTTCCGTGTCGGGTTCAGGTCAGATTTTCGGATCGTGTCCGAAATTGACACCCCTAGCGGTTGAGCCCTATCATGATTGGCTCATTTACATCAATACTTACCCATGCCCTTCTATTTTTTATTTCATAACTTATGCCTTATGGTCTGTTTGAGGCAACTGAAATTTTTTTGTAAATGTGTGACAAAGCTGCTTTTAAGAAATTAACTTTTTTTAAAGTTGTTGTATAAAATAGCTTACTAGCACAAAAAAATTCTAAAATCAATGATCAAACAGTGAAACAAAAATTGTAATATGGTTTGAGAAAAAAAGTAGTAAGAAATATGTCCTAAACGAAACCTTATATTGAGAAATTTGTGTTTGGTCTTTGATCATCAAGCCTCCAACCAAATATTGTGCTAAGCAAACAACAAATTCTTCATTCAATAACTTTAGATATGATTGAACAACAAATTCTTCATTCAAGGCATATGATGAGGGATACTAATTAACTTCAGCACAATACAAATTATTTCACTAATTCAACTTGATCCTATCTACAAACAAATTCGAACAAACATAACCAATGTTTGGCTTGGGTTAATGATCCACTTGATGTTAATGATGCATGTTCTAGTAATTTAATGGAGGTAGCTGTCCATTCAACATTGGAGTTGGAATTCGAAGTTCCAAAGTCTACATATAGCCTAGAGTAGATGTTTTTTTTTTTTTTTTTCATTTGCATGGGATTTGGGAGATATTTAGGCTTCGTTTGGGGCGAGTTTCTAGCTACTTAAAGTAATTTCTCAGTACATAAAATTTTTCAAAATAAAAATTTTTATACCATAGAAAGCTGCTTTAGAAAGCAATAAGAAAATTATCCTAAACGAAGCCTTAATCTAGAGTGCAATATCCTTGGCTCTTGCAATGTTGGTAGGATTAAAGTATTTAAAAATGTTTATTATTATTATTATTATTATTATTATAGAATCCATATGACCATTTAGACGTTAGTGGGTGATTTTGATATATTGTAGGAGGTAAAATGATGTTTCCAAGGTTGAGGTGATAGTTTTTTTATTAGGAGGAGAATTATGTATGTTTGTGGTACACGCTTAATGTTGGTTTCATGTAAACTTTGTGTGGAAAAGCTTAAAAAAAGGGTTACATAGATAAGTTTTTTGTTGTACCCTGGATAGAACATGATTTAAATTCTTCTTTTTTTCTTTTTTACTTCTCCCACAATGTCAATCATTTTATCCAACATAGGCTTTGTTTAGAACAATTTTTTTACTGCTTTCTAGAACAGCTTACTAGTACCAATTTCTAATTCAAAAATTGTACTAAAGATTTGTTTTAGAAAGCAACAAAATAGCTGTCTCAAAGAAAGCCTTGATACAAGACTTGTTAGGTTTCTAATTATGTATATATAGCTCAAAACTAATATTTTTTTACTAATAATAACAAACATAAGCAAATAATTTTCTTACCAACCTTACCTTAGGAAGGAAATTGCCACAAGTTGGGAGGAGGCCAAGAAGTGTAATAGGTTAGTGAACTCTTTAGGGAGTTTTGAGTGAATATATGAATTGATTTTTGGTCATTAAGGGTAAGGCCAAGGGATGAAAATGAACTCTTAGGATTGATGAAGGGAATTATGAAGAATTGATGCTTGTCAAAAGGGTGATGTTATGTTAAGGTTTGTGAGAAAGTGTGAAGAATGAGATCTTCAAAGGTGGAGAGATACTATATATGGGAGATTAAGAGTTTGTGGAAATTTTCTACTTTGAGCATTTGAGATAAATTTAAAAATTTGATAAATAAGTATCAAAATATGTTTATGTAGCAATATGCCATGCATGCTTGATACAATTCATCAATCAAGATCACATATTTATGAAAACGGGAATACAAAATTTTTCTTATGAATTTCACTATTCCTAATTATATGCATTAAAATGATAGAATGAGCTAAGCATTAAGTATGATATTAGAGATGTTTACCATATTATATATTACGTGAAATGTGTATATACAAGAAAGTATGTCTATTATATGATTCAAGTTGGCAGAGATGTGATACCTTGTGTAAGAGGATGAGCTTATAGGATTTTCTTTAAATATAGGTTAGTGGTGTGAACCCAATACATTATAGAAATTATAAGGGGAATATGATATGATTATAATTGTCGATGAGTTGGGGGTGAAAAATCCCATGTACTATACCAAATGATTGTTTTTTAATTATATTATATGATATGATACCATGTCTGACTTAATATAATTGTATAGGAAAAATAACATATAATATAATATGATTAGTAAGGATTCTTGTCTTACTTAATACATATATGTGAATATGAGATGCTGCTTTATATGATTAATGAAATTGTTATAATCTTCTGATATGACACAGTGATATATAGATCATAATCTTGGACATAATTGTACTACTTATGATACATACACTTAAGTAGCATAGAGATTTGGTGATTTACTTTTTCAACACATGTTTAGCTTTTATAATCAGTTGATTGATAGCATGCATATTATTTTATTCCATTGCATTGAATACAGTTGTAGGTTTCATGTAACCTACTAAGCTATTTACTCATTCTTCATTATGCATTTATATGTTTCAGGGAAATGGTAAGACTCTAGTAGAGTGAGGATGTAATTTGTTATTAGAGTTACTCTTATATATAAATTGTTATCAGTATTATTATCATGCATTGATACACATTGAATAATCCTTAATATTCATGCAAATCATAGGTCTGTAGTTTCACTTTTGAGGGGATGGTTTTTGAAAACTAACTCCTTGGATTTAATTATGTAACTACTTTAGATTTGAATTGTATAACTCATTATATTAATGAGGGTTCAACCTCATGATAAGAGATTGAAATTTCAAAATCCCTTAGATTTGAATTGTGTAACAAAAATATATTAACAAGGAATTAAACTTACGTTGTTTGATATAGGTCATCATGCATTCAACCTTGGAGTTGAAATTTGAAGTTCCGAAATTTCTTCATAGTCCATGATTAAAGCTTTATTTTGGACAACTTTTCTAATGCTTTCTAAAGAAGCTTCCTAATACAAAAATTTTTATTTCAAAAATTTTTTGTACTAGAAAACTATTTTAGAAAGTAGTAAAAAAATTGTCCCAAATGAAGTCTAACTTTGAGCTATCATCTTACATCATGAGTCATAATGTACAAAAAAAGGACTGATTACAAATGCAAGTGACACACTGTTAATGTGAGATTTCATTATATTATATATATATTTTTTTGGGCTTCATTTGGGATAGCTTTTGACTAATGTTTTTCACTATTTTAAAGATGTTTTTGTATTAAAAAGTTGTTGTAAAAAATAAAAAAAAAAATTATCCCAAACGAAGCCTTAAACATTCTTCCTTTGCCATTAATCATTTTATACTAGTTGCTTTCTCACCACCCATGACCCACCCATGTTGAATTGTTGGTCATCCCTTGTACTCTACCTTTCTCATTAAATCCTTGGTTTGAATTTTATTTTGATGAACTAATCTCAAATAAATGGAAATCATCTTAACTCCATTGTTGTCTCTTGAATACTGAATGTCATAGTTTCATTATGAGATCAGAGTCCCCAATGACTTATATTCTTCTTATTCCAATCTTTGTAACAAGAAGAAGTGTCATTAGAAGAGCTTTATACTTAGCTTGATCACATAGTCTTAAAGTTTTTTTTTTTTTTTTAGTTAAAACCCTCAAAGGGGCCTACGTGTTAATATCAAAAAAGCGGATACACGGTCCTTAAAAGAAACCACTAGCTCTCTACTGCTCGAACAAGCTACAATCAAAAAAGGAAAGAAAAAGACCTGCGAGCCTGTGGTTCCTCAACCTAATAGTACAATAGATGTAAAACAAACTACTGGGGCAGTAAACAAACGCCACCCAAAAAAGGAAGCTCATCGAATAGACGTTCAACATCATCTTCCTGCAAAAATGGAGAAGCAAAAAGAAAAACCAAAAAAAGAACACAATAAGGAGTACCTTGATTCCACAGAAGATCTTGTACTTCAAAATTAAAGGAACCTTGCACGACACACTCCCAACCATCTGAGACATCATCATCTCACCTTTAACCTTATCCCTGTCAGCAGTAGCCCAAAAACAATTGTCCCCAACCTGTAACACAAAATAACTCCAAAAATAGCAAATACGATTAACCAAATTCAAGTAAAATTGATAAATCTTGCACTCAACAAAAATTCTCCCATCCACCAAAAGGAGAAGTTGAAAAACCAGGCAACAAAAGCCACCACCCAGCCCATTTAAAAATACAAGCCCCCGAAACCAGCAAGACTGGATATCCAGCACATGGAGAGAAATAACATCATGATTTTTACGTGAAAAACCCTAAAAAGAGAAAAAACCCCAGTTTAAATAATTCCACTAGTTTTATTTTATGTAGAAGAGGCTGACTCGTCCTTAAAATTTAGGATGATCATATTACAATGTGATGTGGCGTATCATGGTACTGGAGCATATCCCAACGCCATCATTCCATAGCCCACGGCCTCCACTCCTCTATAGCTTTAGTTAGTTATTACTTTTCTGCATATGCCAAGTAGTGGCCAGCTCAGCTTAATATTGCTATATCCACATTTCATTTTATTAGAGTATTACTTATGTACTAGTTGGGGACAAGAGACCTTTTAGAAGTGAATGCTAATATTTGAACTTTCCACCTATTCTCCGCCTGTTATATCCTTCTCCTTCTTACTGCTCTTCTTCTTTTCCCTGTACTTTCATCTATGTTTTCTATTCTATGCAGGTTTGCTCCGATTTTCACACCAATTGGTATCAGAGATCGGCTACAAATCTCATGGCAGAAGGAAGCAAACGACCTGCGGTTGATGAGGACCGAAGTTTGGAGGCTTTGTAGATAGCCAAGAACAGCATGGCTCGCCAGAGGAGGCTCTCACCACGGAGTTCTTTCTGTTCTCAACAGAAATGAGGATCGAGATTCGGTCCCTGAGGACGAATCAACCACTCACAGTAATGGGTAGACCAGTTGCACCGGCAACCACACCGGTACTGCGTCTGCGTCATGGCTGACGGTTCCACACTATTGTTCCGATTGTGTCGGACTCAGATAACGAGGAAGGCATACAACCACAATTGGAAGCATCTGACTCGGCAGAGGAAGATAGACTGAATTAATATGAACAGCCTCGCCGATACCCCATACAGCAGCGACAACTCGGAGAATTCTGCATCAAATTGGACATTCCCTTCTTCGATGGGCGCTTGCACATCGAAGTCTATTTGGATTGGGAGCGTGACGTTGAAGCATTCTTTGACTACATGGAGATAGCACCGGAGAAGCAAGTCAAATACGTCACGTGTCGTCTTAAAGGCGGGGCGGGGGCATGGTGGATGCAACTCCTACAGTCCAGACGGCGAGAAGGAAAGGGGAATATCACTAGTTGGTATCGGATGAAACAGTTGTTGAGGGGACACTTCTTACCCACCGATTTCGAGCAGATGTTATATGTGCAATACCAACATTGCACTCAAGGCACTCGGACCGTTAGCGAATACACGGAGGAGTTTATCCGTCTGAGTGCCCGGAATAATTTGAATGAATTCGAGACGCAGCTTGTGGCACGATACATTGGTGGCCTTAAGGAAACTATACATGATGAACTTGAACTGAACTCAGTTTGGACCCTTTCACAAGCGGTCAATTACGCCCTCAAAGTTGAGATTCAGCTTAACCGCCATCCGAGAAGTGGCAATGCTCGACGATACACTGCGGAGCCTAGCGGGGAGATGAGCAAATTACCTGCGGTTGGTGGAAATAAGGCCGCAACTCCATCTATGGGAGGATCTGGGATCTTAGGCGCTGAGCCTAAACCTCCTGTTATCAACCGCCAGAGGACTCCTACGAGGGATAATAATCCGTATGAGAAACCAGTAACCTTGAAATGCTATCGTTGCTTCTAACCGGGACACAAGTCCAATGACTGTCCAAATCAGCGGCAAGTGCAGCTGCTTGAAGGGGAACAAGATGACGAAGACCATGGCGCCGAGTAGGTGAATGAGCAAGATTTTGAGGATCTCCAAGCCGATGAAGGTGAGCCAATCGCTTGTGTCATGGAAAAGCTTCTGATAGCGCCTCGCCAGACGTGTATTTATCAAAGGCATGCCATCTTTCGTACCCGTTGAACTATTGGTGGCAGTGTCTATGATTTACTCATTGACAGTGGGTGCACTGAGAATAACATTTCTCGGTTGGTGGTGCAAAAGCTACACCTCAAAATGACGTGCAATCCACATCCCTACAAGATAAGTTGGGTGAAGAAAGGTGTGGAGATAGCTGTGTCCGAAATGTGCCGAGTGACTTTCTCAATCGGAAAAAGTTATGTATGTGAAGTTTTATGTGATGTTCTGGATATGGACATTTTCCATTTAATATTGGGGTGTCCATGGCAATTTGACGCGGGAGCGATCTATGACGGATGTGCAAATACATATACGTTCGAGTGGAAGCAGCGCAAAATTCGGTTCATACCCCATTCCACTGGTGATGGTGATAAGGAGTTGCCCGACAAATCGACAATGTTTATGGTCACTGGCCATAAAATTATAGATTCCTGGAAGGAATCATCGTGGATGCTAGCACTGGATGCATCAGCCACCCATACGGATGAGGTGTGCGTAGAAATTCCCACTGCCGTTCGAGACATTATTCAGTGTTACAAGGAAGTCTGGCCCGCCGCACTACCAAACGAGCTTCCCCCGTTACGAAATCTGCAGCACCAAATCAATTTCCAACCGGGTGCCAATCTTCCAAATCTGCCACACTATAAAATGAGCCCCCGAGAACACGAGATACTACGAGGCATCGTGGAAGAGCCGCTTCAAAAATAATTGATTCAACCCAGTCTCAGTCCGTGTGTTGTCCCGGCGCTACTCGTACCCAAGAAGGATGGTAGTTGGCGTATGTGTGTTGATAGTCGAGCTATCAACAAGATCACCACGAAATACTATTTTTCGGTGCCTTGTCTCAAAGATATGTTGGATAAGCTTGCAGGCGCTACCCTCTTCTCGAAGCTGGATCTTAGGAGCGGGTATCATCAGATCCGCATTCGTCCAGGAGATGAATGGAAGACAACATTCAAGACCAGAGATGGATTATTTGAGTGGCGAGTGATGCCATTCGGACTTTGCAATGCTTTGACGACGTTCATGCAGCTCATGAACGAGATCCTCAAGCCTGCTCTCGAGAGGTATTGTGTCGTTTATTTTGATGACATCCTTATTTTTAACTGATTGCTAGAAGATCACCGCACTCACCTTTCTCAAATTCTTGAAATTTTAAGAGAGCACAAGCTCTATATTAATTTCACTAAGCGTGAGTTTGACACGAGCACAATCCACTTTCTGGGCTTTATCATATCTAGCCAGGGTGTGCACATAGACCCTCAAAAGATTCTTGCTATTACATAGTGGCCAACCCCTTGTTCTGTGGCTAAGGTTCGCAGTTTTATTGGCCTAACCAATTTCTATCACCATTTCATCTGGGGTTTTAGTATCATCATTGCACCGATCACCGATTGCCTCAAAGAGAAGTCTCTGCGGTGGACATCTGACCAAGAACGCAGTTTCAGCACCCTCAAAACTGCTCTGATGACGGCTCCGGTACTAGCCATCCCTGATTTCAGCAAGTCTTTCCATGTCGACACGGACACATCATCCATGGGTGTTGGCGCTATTCTCTCACAAGAGAACATACCTCTTGAGTTTTTCAGCGAAAAAACTAAGCCCGGCTCATCAAAACTTGTCTGCCTACGAGCAAGAGCTATATGCAGTCGTTTGTGCTTTAAAACAGTGGGAGCACTATCTTATACACCAGGACTTTGTCTTATGCAGTGACAATCATACTCTCCAATTTATCAATAGTCAGAAGACTATGAACAAGATGCATGCGAGGTGGCTAACGTTTTTACAACGCTTTAGTTTTGTACTTAAACACAAATCCGGGACCCAAAATTGCCTTGCCAACGCACTTAGTCGCCGCACCGCATTGACCACAAAGCTGCAGGTTGATACTCCCGGACTGGAAGCCTTGCAAGAATTATATGCAATGGACCATGACTTATCCGAAACCTGGAACAATTTGACAAGCAACCCGCCTATACCGTCTAATGATTTTTCAATTTGACACAATTTCTTATTTAAGGGAAATCAGTTGTGTATACCAGCTTCTTTCTGGCGAGAGCATTTGATCAAGGAATTGCATAGCGGGGGCTTAGCGGCACATGTAGGCCGAACAAAAACGTTGGAACAAATGCAAAGCTGATTTTACTGGCCTCATCTTTGCCGTGATGTCACACGGTTCGTGGAGAGGTGTCCTATATGTCAATTGTATAAAGGGAATGCTCAAAATACTGGATGTTATACACCGTTGCCGGTACCGAATTCAATATGGGAAGATGTAAGTATGGATTTTGTATTGGGCTTGCCGAGAACCAAACATGGAGCTGATTCGATTATGGTCGTCGTCGATCGCTTCTCTAAGATGGCTCACTTCCTAGCATGTAAGAAGACGTTCGATGCTCTCAACGTCGCCATGCTCTTCTTCAAAGAAATTGTGCGCCTGCATGGTATTCCCCGCATCATTACGTCGGATCGCAATGTGAAATTCATTAGCCATTTCTGGCGAGAATTATGGAAGAGGCTACAAATCGAAATCAAACTTAGTTCCGCTTATCATCCGCAGATGGATGGCCAGACGGAGGTCGTGAACCGCACCTTAGGTAACATGCTGCGCTGTTTGGCTCACGAACATCCGAAGCAATGGGACGACTACCTTGGCCAAGCTGAATTCGCATATAATGCTATGACGAACCGGTCCACTGGGCAATGCCCATTCAGCATTGTATATACTAAGTGTCCTAATCACTTGGTGGATGTAGCCGTTTTGCCACAATGCAAGAGAAGGGTAGCATCCAATACTACCGAAGCTTACACTAAAATGCTACAAGGTGTACGGGACAAACTGGAAGCCGCAAAATCGCACATACAAATAGCAAGAGGATCTCAGCCAATGGGAAAAGATCTTCAATCCAGGTGATCTGGTAATGGTGCGTCTTCGCAAGGAGATGTTTACACCTGGTACTTATTTAAAACTCAGTCCAAGGAAGATTGGGCATGTACCCATTGTTCGACGAATCAACAATAACGCATACGTTGTGGATCTCCCACCTACATTTCTTACACCGTCGACCTTCAATGTGTCTGATATTTTTGCGTACAAATCTCCTGACACATGTATGATCCAATCTATTTCCTCAGGTGAGGAATCTCCCACGGCCGGGGAGACCTGATGTGGCGTATCATGGTATTGGAGCATATCCCAACGTCATCATTCCATAACCCACAGCCTCCACTCCTCTGCAGCTTTAGTTAGTTATTACTTTTCTGCATATGCCAAGTAGTGGCTAGCTCTGCTTAATATTGCTATTTCCATATTTCGTTTTATTAGAGTATTACTTATGTACTAGTTGGGGACAAGAGACCTTTTAGAAGTGAATACTAATATTTGAACTTTCCACCTATTCTCCTCCTGTTCTATCCTTCTCCTTCTCCCCGTTCTTCTTCTTTTCCCTGTTCTTTCTTCTCTGTTTTCTGTTTTGAGCAGGTTTGCTCCGGTTTTCACACCACAATGTTTCACTTCCAGATTGAATTCCAATTACAACCAAGTTGTGTATTCGAGCCGAATTCGGAATCGCTTAGAATTTTAACATCACTTGAAAATCGGGCAGAGTTCCGGCGTCACTTGGGCGTCGGGCATAAATCTAGTGTTACTTGGGCGTATGGCAGAATTCCGACGTCACTTGGACAGAATTTCGGCGTCACTCGAGCGTCGGGCATAATTCTGGAGTCCCTTGGACATTGGGCAGAATTCTGAAGGCACTTGGGCATCGGGTAGGATTTCGGCGGTAGTCGAGGAGGAGTTTCTTCCCTCTTTCCTTCTCTTCTTCTTCTCTTCTACTTCTTCTTGATTGGATCCTCTCGCATGAGAAATGAAGGGTCTATTTATAAATATTATGGAGTGGCATGGTCCGTAAATAAATGAGAGATCAGGGGCAAATATGGAGTGGTTCGGACAAATGGCCGCTATTGAATCCTTTGATCGTGGATCGTTTATTAGACATTTGAAGGTCTTAATGATGTCGGAATTCGGAGATATTGAGCTCGTTGGATTTGTCTCGTTGAGCCGCTCAATTTGACTATAAGTGCGCTATGTTTGGTAACTGTTTGAACTCAAATTATGGTATGAACTTTCCAATAGCGCTTCAGGTCCTTGATTCACATCATTTGGGCTTGGATTGAGTCAAATTTGGTGTCGTTGGGTTCGTATTTCCGAGACGCTCAGTTCTTTGCATTAACATCTATTTAAAGTGTAGTCAAAGCATAGTCAAAGCGCAGACGACGTGATAAGTTTTAATTGGATGTCCGAACCTGACCTAATAATTTGCCCATTAGAAGAGCTTTATACTTTGCTTGATCACATAGTCTTAAAGTTAATGCAAAGAGAAAACAATAGTAACATGCCTAATGGCCCATGGTACTAAGTAGCCTTATCTTTGATTTAAATCTACCTTCGTAGAAAGAACTGACATTTTTTTTATAAGCAAATTCTTTCTCATTAGTAGTTAAAATATTAATGGCGCTTTCCGCTGCATTTTGCTTCAAAATAATGTCATCTTTCATAAAACTCAAGTAATATTTCTATGATTGAAAAATGTCTCTTTGAATATTGATGATATCATGGATGATGAGAAATTAACTATAAATAGACGTTGTTATCTTGAAGGAATTGAGTTGTCAAATATTAGGAAACGATAACCAAATCGGCACTATAGGCGACTCCTCCTTAATATCGAAATACGGAGTCCATTTCAGCAAACGCATTTGACAGTTCGCAATATAATATGATCTACGGGAAAAAATGCGACTATAATCTAAATCATTTGACAACTGAATCGCCACATGCCGCGGATCTAACAGACCAATAGAAAAATTACCAGAAAGTTTAAGGTTGAGAAAGAAACCACGAATAAAATCCAAGTTCGGACGACGTAAAGTAAATTTACCCACAAGAGTGAACTGATAAGGAGCAGCTAGTCGAACGACATCTTCTTCAGAGAACAAAATTGCAGGAACCCCTTTAACCGTGGATTTTTTGAACTCAAAACCAGACCCCTTAGCCTCCGCAGGCCCAGTAAGAACATCTTTAAAAGATCGGGAAGAAGGACGTTTCTCACCATCAGAAAGATCAAAAAAACCAGGATTAGTCTTCGGAGAAACAGCTGGAGGAGAACCCCACGGGTTCGACGAAGACGCCATCGCAGAAAAAGAGCCTAAGGCCACAAAGGCCTTAGACACGAAACCTCCAAGCACCACCCAAAACCGCGGCGGCAGAAACCCTAAAATCTCTCATGAAGAAAGCAGAGAAAAAGAGGAGAAAAAAAATCGCCAGAGCAAATCGGAAAAACAGGAGAGAGAATGTGAGTGAGCTTACATAGTCTTAAAGTTAATGCAAAGAGCAAACAATAGAAACATGCCTAATGGGCCAGCCTTATCTTTGATTTAAATCTACCTTAGTAGGAAGAACTGACATTTTTTTTCTAAGCAAATTCTTTCTCATTAATAGTTAAAATATTAATGGCGTTTTCCGCCTCATTTTGCTTCAAAATAATGTCACCTTTCATAAAACTCAAGTAATATTTATATGATTGAAAATTGTCTCTTTGAATATTGATGATATCATGGATGATGAGAAATTAACTATAAATAGACGTTATCTTGAAGGAATTGAGTAGTCATCTTCTAAACACAGTTGTAAGGTGAAGGATCCTAGACTGGGGGTGTAAATGAGTTGAATCAAATCGAGTTTAGGCCTTACCGAGCTCGGCTCATTAGTTGGAAAGTGAGCTCGAGCTCAACATGCGAGCTCAAACTCAAGCTCGTCCCACTGTAAACGAGCTCGAGCCGGCTCGTGAGCCGGCTTGCAAACCATAAGCGGGAATTCTAAAATTTAGGCTGGATTTTTAAAACTTAGGTGAGATTTTTAAAACTTAACCGGGATTTTTAAACTTAGTCAAAATTTAGAAAAAAAAAAGATGAAAAGTTTAATATTTAAATAAAACTTAGGTGGTTATTATTATAATTTTTAAAATATTTAAACTTAATGAAAAATATAATTATTTAAAGAATTTTAATATTTATTAGAGTCAGCTCGCTCGCAAGCTCATGAGCAGAGCCGGCTCAAGCTCGAACTAGAGCTCGTTTACTAACACAAGCTCGAACTCAAGCTCGAAATCGACTCGTGAGCTCGATAAGCTCGGCTCGGAAGCCCATAAACGAGTCTAGCTTTAGCCGGCTCGCGAGCCGGCTTGGCTCACTTACGCCCCTGGTCCTAGACTATCATGAACTAAATTGGTCTAATTTCATAGTCCTTAATGTGCTCCAATGTGCATAAATTATGGTTGGATATTATTTGAAACATGATTGAACACTGTTCAAGAATATAAAAACTATGTAGTTCTATTCTTATTAAAATAATATTTGAATGTAGCTCAATGAATTAGGTGTGATTATGTCTTAACCATGTAGATTTTTAATTAGGTTTGAATAAGTACTGATACATCATAAAAATCATCTTAATCAGGCATGAATCTCGAAGCATAGATGATTTGATATTTTCCAAAATTAAATTCAGGACCATTTTTTATATTTTAAATTCAAGACCATATGAACTCCATTTTTACCAAATTTATTGTCAAATTGAACATCTCAAAGAGATGAACCCAACAACACCAAAATTGGTCCAGTCTGAGCCCAATGTGTCGAAATCAATAGACTGAAGCACAATTAGAAGGCTCAAAACATTAATTGGATGTCCAAATGATATCCAAATATAACATGCTTATAGTTGAATCGAGCCCTCGACGAGAAGATCCAATAAGCTCAATATCATTTAATTATGATATCCTTAAAGCACTTGAATGTTGATAGAATGTTCCATGAATGAGGGAATCAGTATGGGTCAGTCGATGGAACTCTCTGAATTGGCCGCAAATATTCTCCATATTTATGGGATATTTCACTCACAAAAATCTATAAATAGGCTTAGTCTCGCTTCATGAAAGGGCCATTTGGGATAGAGATTGGAGAGAGATCTAAGATTTCTATGATCTTAGAGTTCTACCCAAGCATCACCACTGACAAATATTTTTTGACCATCACTTGACTACCGTCACCCACCGACTACAATCCTCCAACCAACATTGCCCTCCAACTACGTCCCTCTGACCATCGTCGCTCACCAATTACAATCCCTTCGAGACTTTGACCTCGTTGCCCGATTACAATCCCTTCAATCACCTTCGCCCAACTACAGTCACTCCGACCTTTGTCGCCATTTATTACGGTCACTCCAACCTTCGTCGCTCGCCGAATATGATCCCTAAGACCACTGTTACCTATCAACTATAGTCCCTCCGACCATCGTCCCATGACTACGGTCCCTCTGACCTTTGTTGTCCAACTAAGACCCAACACTCTCTTGAGAATAAGTCTCATATATCTATATTTTTCCAGCCCTAACTATGCGATATGCTCTATATGATGTACATTGAGCCAACGCCTACCCACGAGGAAGTGACATCATTTGTAATCAATAACAAGCACTATTGTATTCATTTCAACTGGGTCAAACACCGTAATTTTTCTCACTGTTCAGGATTTTCCACGTAAAAGTTATATTATCTTTTATGACTATCGCACCCCCTCACTTTATCTTTCCACTGTTTCAAATGTTCCAGGACACAACAAGTACGATCATGCATTCAAATATTGTTCATTTGTAGATCAAATATATTTGATTATGATTTAACCACAATTTGATAAATATATAAACTTATTTGAATGTATTTTGATTCACTTCTAGCTATGTTACCAAAGCAATAAAGTTATATAGTGATTATTTTTTTTTATAGGGAAATAAAGTATCAATATTTTTATATTATATGAAGAAGAATGGAAATAGGACATGGAAGCTGGATGGATATTCACTAAAATTGAAGCAAATGATTGAAAATACCATAAACATATATTTTTAATTGACCTCTTTCATCTTACATGCAAAATGATAGAAGTTGATAAGAAATAATTTAATCTAAAGCTAATGTTGATGTACAACTTTGGTGAAACACCATCAATCCCTCCAATTGAGCTACTTAAGGACTATGATAATATAATTTTTTTAGGCAAAATATGCCCATTAGACATAATTAAAGTAGACATAATTAAAGATAAGCTCTTAAAAAAAAAAGAAAAAAGATAAGCTCTTAGCCTATGATTTTAATGTGAAGTTAAAGATGATCATATTAGGTCTTAAGAGAGGCTATATTATTGATTTGTTCTATACGAAGGCTGGACAGTTTTGAAACCAAGCTATCACCAATTTACGGACTCGAATTTAGCTAAAGTGCTCGAAAGGGGAGAAATATCGTTACCTTCGCGGTGAACTTTTGTTGCAACTTTCAATTCGACAAGAACAATGTCTTTGCAGGAGGCAGAGATGCTTTGATACTTGTAGAACTCAACTTCACCTGAAGCAGAACAATAACGAAGAAATGCATAAGAGGAAAAGCAAACCATAGACAGATAATGGCAGATGACTTATTCGAAGCTGCACCTCAGCGAAGCCTCTACCTCACGCGAAAAGCAACGAAGAAATAGGAAGAGGGCTTTTCGAAAGAAACAAGAAGAGGAAAGTATTATAAGATTAATTCTTAACTTTTTAATTAGATTATACTTTAATTAGTTAAATTAATATGATAAATAGTAGTATAATTATCATTAAATTAATTTAATTCACATTTATAATTTGTTGGTTGTTATATTTATTAGTACTATAATTGTTATTAAATTAGTTTAATACTTAAATTATTAGGGTTTAATAAGCTAGTTTCTAATAATAATTAAATATAGTTTCTAATAAATAAAAAATTTGATAATTAATAATAATTAAGCTAATTTCTTATTATATTAATTAATCCTAAACTTATTAAATGTAATTAAAAATAAAGTTAATAAGTAAATTATAATTAACTATCAAATTAAATTTAAAATTTAAAACACATTAAATTTAATTTGTAAATGAATCAACTATTTTAAATCCTAATTACATTCTCAAAAAATTTATCAAAATTTAACGTATATCGTACCAAATAATTTTTGAAATTTAACACCGTTTATATTTACTATTTATACCAGCTTGTTAAATAAATTACCAAACAGCCCCTTTAATCTAAGCAGCCCCTAAACTCTTAATTTTTTTCATTCCGACTTCACCGGCAGTGGAGCGGCCGACGCAACACCCAAATCCTCACCGCGGCCGAAAATCTGTTCAAATTACCGGAGAGACAGAGCTCTCCTCGGGCATCGTCGGCTTGTTTGTAGAATGATGGCCGCGTTTTCTTCTTCTGCGCCTCTTGCCTCCTTCACAAAAAGCAAATCTCGCCCACCTTCCAGTAAAGCCCGCAGCAATCCAGCCTTCACTTTCAATTTCTTAAGGATTTCAAATAAAACTCATCTCAAATTTGCTACATCTCCACTGAAATCCCTACCGTCCGTCAAGCACAAAACCCCCAGTTTCACCATCAAATCCCTTTTCACTGGCATCGTTGAGGAGATGGGCCAAATCCAACACTTGGGTCCTAACCGCGAGGGCGGCTACGAACTTCGGATCGCAGCAAAAACAGTTCTTGGAGGCGTCCAACTAGGCGACAGCATCTCCGTGAACGGGACTTGTCTCACCGTCACGGCGTTTGATCCCGTAGCGTCCCAATTTTCCGTGGGTCTCTCGCCGGAAACTCTTCGGAAAACTTCCCTCGGTGAACTCGGCCCTGGGTCGCCTGTCAATCTGGAGCGGGCGCTGCAGCCTACCTCGAGGATGGGCGGACACTTCGTGCAGGGCCACGTTGATGGGACTGGTGAAATTGTGAAGTTTGAGCCGGAGGGGGATTCTATCTGGGTGAAGGTGAAGACTTCGCCGGAGCTGCTCCGCTATATTGTGCCGAAGGGGTTTATAACTGTAGACGGAACGAGCTTAACGGTAGTTCAAGTTTATGATGAGGATGACTGCTTTGATTTTATGCTGGTGGCTTACACACAGCAGAAGGTGGCCATTCCTACGAAAAAGGTGGGAGATAAGGTTAATTTGGAGGTGGACATACTCGGGAAGTATGTGGAGAAGCTACTAAGGAGCGGCATTGGATCTGGTGTTGCTTTGGATTCTTCCTGATTTTGAAAAGAAGGATTGATTTGAGGTTGTTAAATTTCCTATCAACTGCATTTTATACACATTTACTTTATCTATCATAATATTAGAAAGATTATATTGAAAAAGAAAAAAGATTGTCAAATATTGCGATCATTGCGTGCTATTATTTATTTAATTTGAGGATTTTTTGCTGAGTTTAGGCTGTCCTTTATATAACAGTTTTAGAGTAATTACAACTTAATTTTTCTTCTGAATGAACTACCAGTCCTAGTTGAAAGTTCATTAGTAAAGTTCAAAGTTCATATTGCCTCCAAGAATTACTAAATCTATATTTGCAAGATTTAAGTGGAAATCAATATGAGCTTTGAACTTTACTAAACCTCTAATATAAGTATTTAATTTTATACAAAGGGAAGAAAATGATATCACAATGGCATTTTAAGGTTCTCACTCTCTCCAACAAGATAGTAATGGCTATTAGTTGTGCTTTGGTCAGTTTCTATTAGGCTAATGGCTTTGGTGAACTCTAAAAAACTTTGACGTTGTCGATATACTCTAATGTAGCTCTAATTATCTTAAGCGACTATTGATATCTCTCATACTAGCTCTAATTATAAGTAATTAAAGGTATTTAAGAGGCTAGAATCCATATTAAATCCATCCAAAGTGGATTTTAAAATATCATTCAAATTAGTTGAAGTCCCCTCCTGCCGGTTCGGAAACGTTCCAATAAGCATTTCTTAAACTCCCTCGAACTCTGTATGGGCCTCCTCATGTTTCTCCACTGGTACCAAGCCAACACATTCCCTTCCAAATATAAGCCAACTTCCATCAATTTCTCCTCCTCATCAATCCATTGAAGGCGAAATATCTCTCTACCTTGTAAATTCACACATGTGCAGCACCTCCTTAAAAAATGAGCACCTTCAGCTTTTGAACCTTCAGATCTCCCCCATTTTCCTTGATTCCTCTATAATTTCCCTTTCCCCAAGTGTTTGGTCATCCCCAAGTGTCTCAATCCTTCCTTCCACTCTTATACCCATATCCATCTTCACTTTCTCCTCTCATTCCTTCAAAATTAGCACCCCTCCTATCATAATCTCCCTCTTTTCTTTCCAAATAAGAAAACCTTAGTTCATGCCCCTCATACCATCCATGTCTCTCCTCTATGATCTCAACATCGTTTTCACTCATACGAATTTCAAAATTCGTATGTCTTCCTACCGAGCCACTTTCCTCCTATGCTGTCGTTTTGTTTTGACTGTCCATTATCTTTTTCACCACCTCATGAAGATCTGAAACTTTGCCTTCCATGTAGGATATTCTATCACCCATCGTTGCTTTCATTTGACTCATCTCCCCCTCAGGGTGTTCTTCCAACGCATCAATTTCTTGGCCGCCATCGATACATGGATTTTTGTTTGACTAAAAAATTTGGAACTTGAGCCAAAAAATAGCAAAACAACCCCTCTTCGGACAAAAATCAGCCGCCAGATTTCACAAAAAAGCCCAAAAACAGTCCCAAAAACTGCTCTGATATCAATTTGATAGGAAACACTTGAAGATCTCAAGTGAAAACCTATCAATCTTGGAAAAACAGCGGGGAATATCCACAAAACTTTGAGTAAAACCCATAAAACATTAATTTTATTACAATAATCAAAGATAACATAAGGAAAATACTAAGATACAATTGATCCTCAATTCAAGAGGAGTATTTATCTCCCCCAATCGCCGCTAGAGCCCAAGACGCTGAGCATAAAAAATAACAAAAAATAAGCCACAATTTTTCGATGCCCTAACCCTAATACAAACTTCTACTTAAAGCAAATACAAAAATAACATAAAATGACTAAACAACCCTCAAACAATTAGCCCTAGGTAGTAGACCCCCACCCCAAGTGGGCGGGATTTAGAGCTTGCGGACCAGCATGCTCCTGTTGTATTGCAGGTGCCGGCTTAGAAGCTGGGCCGGCTGGACTGGTTCAGGGTGGACCGGTCCAAGCGTATCACTTTCTTACTAATTTTTAAAATATTTGTGGTTATAAGTAGCTTTTTCAATCAGATTTGCTAGAGTATGCTTAATTTTAAAAAATCTACTTTAATCAGATCAGTTGTACAATTACTCTTACTAGGAATTGTATGTAGTCACCCAAACAAATTCTTAGTTATATTTATTAATGGATGTGGTTCTCTTGTGAATAATCCTTCATCACTTGAGAAAGGTGAGTTTATTCCTTTTGTTGATTTATGGTATAAGTGATAGAAAATCATGTATTAGGTGTGGTATAATGCTAGATGTGTTGTTTAAACTTTAAAGTTGATGGTTTTAATCTTGTGGTTTTTAAGTTTGAGATAGAAGAGAAAAATTGAAAAAAAAAAAAACTTGTTTTCAAAATATTTTTTAGGCAGTAATTCACGCTTTCAATTTATTAGCTAGTTTTCCTTTCTGATATTGAGATGGGTATGTAAAAGAAGTGGCGAGCGTTAATCACTTTTAACAGCCTTTCTCACAAATCAATTGCTGAAGGTGTTTGTTACTTATCAGCAGCAAGGACATCATCCAGGCAAGTTGTTTTGGTATTGTTAACAATTTGCGTCATTTGATGCCCATAAAACAATAATGCTTTTTTAGTGTTTCAGCTTTACGAATTAGCTTTGTTTGCTGTGGCATAATTAAACATGTTTCTAATGTAACCTACTTATAAATGGTTTTCCAACCTTGACCATATTCGATTGCTTTTAGAGTTTATTTTATTTCTTTTAACATGCGTAGAGCCAAATAAAAATAATATTGTTGGATCTATTTTCATAATTTTGTCTTGTAAGCTGTTCTCAAGCTTTTGTAAATCTGTTCATTTTATGCCTATACATTTTTTTTCTTCTTCATAGTTTGAGTGGGCCACATGAAAAGAGATGGTGGGGCTTTAACCACTTTTCAAAGGCCTTCTTACATATTAATTGTCTTTTTTTATTTTTTTCATAATTCTTAGCAACTATGATAAAAGAAGATAAAATTAAGTAGTGTAGAGATGAGGATGCTCATGTGTATGAGTGGTTTTACACCACAAAATGAGTATATACGTGAGAAGGTTGGAGTAGATGGCAGATAAGATTAGAGAAAGTCGTCTTTGATGGTTTGGTCACATAAAACATTGGCCTTTTGATAATTTGGTTAGGAGAGTAGATTTATTAGACTTGGTTTATGTTAGGTAGAGATAGACCTAAAAATACTTGGTTAGAAGTATTAGACATTTTTTTATTAGATTTAAATGAGAATTTGACTCTTCACAGGAAACAATGGAGAAAAATGATTCATGTGGCGGATTTCAAATAGTTGGATAAAGGCTTGATGTTGTTATTATTTTTCAGCAACAATGATCAAATCATCCTACCAGTTTGCTATATTACACAACAACTTGTTTTATTAATGTTAATGTGCAGCATATTGCTTTCAATATCCAAAATTCCATCATACATCAAGAAACATTCTTAGATTGAAGATTGAGGCTTCGTTTGGGACAACTTTCTTACCGCAAAAAAACTTTTGTACTAAAAATTTAGTTTTTTAAACATCTGAAAAATTGTCTCAAAGAAAACCTCAATCTCCCTCTACTTTGTGAAGAAGCCTTCCATTCTTTTGACTTTTAATTTTTTGCAATAATAACTTTTTTTGGTGTATGTACATTTAGGATTTATAGCTATCATTTTATAAGTCAAATATGCTTTAGCCCTAACATAAAATTTACTAAACTTATTTTCCTTATTGATTGCGTTCATCTTATTGTTAATAACATATATTTAAACAAAGAACACCTTCATTGCATTCTATATGTTGCAGCCGCACCAAATTTGTTTTATTATAATAATTGCCTAAGCAAAAAAAAAAAAAAGCCTTAATCGAAAGTTCTCTCTCGTGATCGGGAGGGGTAATTAACTATAGGGGCTTGCGCCTATAGGAAACCAGAACTCAGATCATAAAGTCCTCACAAAATGAGGGCGAAATCTCTGGGTAGTGTCTTATCTACAAACCCATCTGCCTTCCAAAATTTACCTCGGAACTTAGTTCTGTTAAAACTCCCTCGCCGAATAAGAAAAGCGAGTGGAGGCCGGGGCCGAATTTTCGGAGCCCACAAGCACGTTAGATAAATTATATGATTATATAATACTTAAGAAACTGTTTCTTATCAGAATATGAAACAGAAGAGAAAGGTCTATCAAAATGGGGTGCTGGAGCTTTGTAGTTCAAGTGGCAAGGTATGAAGTTCAATTCCTCCAATGGTTATCCAAGCTAAATTATCTTTGGTAATATTATTACTATATTATGGTTGAGAGTTTCTGGTACTATAACTTTGACCTTAAAAGTCTCTTGTATGTAGTAAGCTATAAGTGACTGTAAAAGGTTCTATGTTTTGCTTGTAAATATTGCCTGTTATTACAAATTTCGCCGAGCATTGATTTTATTTGGAGGCAGCTTTTATAGCGACTATTAGATTGGAAAGTTAAGCTGTTTAATAACTCTGAAAAATTATTCTTTGCGGACACGGGACTATTCGGAGACAAATCAGAATGCGTCACATCACCCGGTACACTACAAAAAAGTGATGTGACACGACTTGATTCATCTTCGAATAACGTCCGGTATCCACACAGAATAATTTTTCCTTCTACCATGCCACCAATCAGAAGTGTCTTCTTCTTTTCTTCTAAATCTAGTGGTTGAGTTGCAAATCATCCATTAAATATACTAGTTGAATGGAAATAACTTTTTGAATGTTCATAATTGCTTCACAATTGTGCCATTTGATTGAAAATGTTTGGGATATCGTGCATTCAATGTTTGGGTTCTGATCGATTTAACGTCCTGACTACGAAACTCTATGATTTTGGCTCCTTTCAGCAAGGAAAAAAAAAAAGATATGACAAATCAAATGTATTCTAAAGTTTGTATTGTTGCAGAAGTTTATAAGTTTAGATTTAAATTTCATCTACAAAGAAAGGGGTTGATCCATCACATAATGCTCTAATGTGGTTTTTTTTTTTCGAAGGATTGCTAAAAAAATCTTATACATACTTTTCACACTGGATTAAATATTGAGTTTGATGATGTAAGGTTACAAATCATTGAAAGTGAGGATTTCTCATCACTAAATAAAGTCATTTATATTATGTGAACTAAAGAGGTGAAGAAAAGAGTCGTGATCAATAAGAACCTCATGGAGGGCTTGGCTTTATGTTGTGGATGAGTTTAGTTCAGTATTCTGGATGTTTTTAGTCATTCCGTAGTATGTTATTCGTTTAAAAATGTATCTTGAAAATTATTTTTTTTACAAAACTAGATATTAGGATTCATCTGTTGTAAGTCAAAAAGATAGGACATGTTTTATCTGCGGGTCTTATCGGGTTGGCTTGTGACTGATTAAGATTTAAATAAATCCTTTTTAAATACAAATACTCATGGTTGCAAGAAAGATAATGATCACCACCATTTTTTAAGAGCATGTAGGAGGGGTAATAAAAATTAATCAACTACAAGCTAATCCATGCCCTCCAACAAAGGATTGAAGCTTTTTTTTTTTTATCATTTTATAGAGGATGAGTGGCCACATTAGATTAGAGAATAGTCAAATAAAATTGTTGCATAAATTGTATGCTTAACCAATCTTGTTCATAATTTCGTAAACGAGTAGAAGAAGGAGAGTGAGAGTGAGGTGGTACCTACTATTGACTCAACCATTCACTCATTTGAGGTTGAATATAAGGTGGAGGAGTAGGAGATGTAGGAGGTGGTGGACGACATTAGCTATTATATGTATATATAAGGTGGTCGAAAAGGTGGTAGATGATTTTAGTTCAACTACCATCATTATGCATAAAGAGTGAGACAAAGGCTTGATGTTGTTGTTATTGTTGTAGTATCACCATTATGCATAAGGAGTGATGCACATTTATTAGGGCTTTAAAGAAAGAAGTAGAAGTTGATGTACTTGATTGATGGTTTCATAGATTCATCAAGGAAGAGGCACAAACCATGAATCCATGTGTCATTGATCCCCTCTACATAGTTGATAAGGAGTGATTATCTATGTTGAAAGCTTGGATTTAGGACTAATTGAGAATTCCAAAGATAAGGAATAGATAAATTATCTTTTTAATAAATATTTAAAAGCATAACATTAAATCCTTACCCCACTCTCATATTCTACCTTGTCGAGGAATAAAATAAAGGAGGAGAGGGGAGAGGGGAGAGGGGAGATAGGAGAGGAGAGAGAATATTCCGGGGCAATTTCGTCCGTCGCTACTGTTACAAAAATTATTATGATTGTTATAAGTGACCTATATCCTATTTTTATTTTTTATCATTTGGAGTTTAGTTCATTTTCTCCTCCTGAAATTAATAAAAATGTAATATCTCATGTTTTAGTGAACTTTTATCAATTTAACTTTCGATATGTAATAGACATCGTTATTCTGAACGCTTTGACTGGTTAGTATTAAAATTTCATCGATCAGCATTGCTTTTTTTTAAAAAAAATCCAAAATGGGTAGGAGATGATTGGGTGTAAAATGATGAGGAGCAAATGTATTAAATCTGAAAATGAGACATGTAATATGCATATGGTTATTATTTATTTGGCATAATATGCATTTTAGCATTAATACATGCTTATTAATGAGTACGATATATTGATGTACATGTTATGATAAATGCATATGATATGTATATGATGCATATATGAATGATATGATTTGTGTACGGACAAACAAAATGAATGAACTGATGTGTTATATGATTGAGAATATTGATGAATAATATATGACTTATGAGATGACTAAGTGAAAATTGATGATAGATAAGATATATAATTGATAAGATAGATGATATATATGATTGATGACAAATATAACATATGATAGATGAAAGATATGATCGATGATTGATAATATATAGAATTGATGACAGGTGATTAATAAGATTGATGATATATGATATATAATGATTGATTGATTTATAATATTGATTGATTAATGAGAATGAATAAATGATTGAATGATATAGAAATATGACTGGCATGCAGTGTGATTGATAAGATACTAATATAAACATATGATATATAGATTGGTTCACATGGTACATGATATGATTGATGCACAAATATGATATGATTGATAGAACCGATATAAGGATATATGATATATAGGAATTATATGATATACATGATATTGTTCATATTGATTGCTACATGCTTATGCATTATATGTTCATATTGCTTTGAAAATGAATGATTACTTGCATATTATTTTGTTTAGTGTATTGATTTCACTTGTAGATATTGGTTACTTGCTGAGCTATGTGCTCATTCCATATTTTTTACACATTTTCAAGTAAGGGTAATGAACTTGTGGAGTGAGGTTAATACGGGCAACATGCAAGGCTTTTTTTTGCATTTGTTGGTTTTCTTTCGTTTGTATCATGTTGTCTTGTTTATTGATGGCTATTTTTGGCTACATCATGATTATTGTATGTGTTATTTTGGGAACTCTTGACCAAAGTGTAAATATTGAATGTATAGAAATGTATTTATGTATTCCGTTGTTTATATTATGTTTATGAAAAATTAGTAAGCTCTTGTTTATGTTTAAAGTATAAAAAGATGCTTTATGTGTATATTTAGTAAGCTCTTGTTTATGTTTTAGGACTATTTATGTGTATATTTATTTTAAAAAATATAGATATATAGGTATATTCAAATGCTCAATGCTTTATTATACTAAAAACAATAATTTTTTGTTTGCATTTATTATTTCACTAATTTAATTTATGTATATTTATATTATTTTTTAATTTTTAATTTTATCTTATGAAATGATTGGATGTAATGATTTGATCGAAAAATTTATAATATTGCTTATGAGGTGAATTTTATAATTCTTGCCATTAAAAATTAATATATTTTAATTTAAAATAAAATTTTGAAGTACTTCTTCAATTATAACTATTATGAATCATATAAAGTTAAAAAAAAAAATTACATGTACATATCCTAGCTTGAAATATAAATTATTTATCTGTAATCACAGGAGGACAGATGCGTAATTTCACACAACTGGATAATTTTACAAGATCGCTCCCCTTTTAAACCCTAGAGACATCGGCCGCCAACCAGTGGCATGACAAACGAAAGCAGGGTGGGAGACGGTCGGTTTTGAATGCCGAGAGCTGCCGATTCCCAGATTCCGCGAAAAGCGGGCTTCGGGACTTTTGATTCCGCTTACCGGCGCTAGGTTCTCGGCTTACTGAAGCTCAGTTAGGGGAAAACCGCTCGGTTTGTCGGCGACTGGGAAGCCTCAAAACGACGAAACTGCGCCGGAAAAGACCGATCTTGTACCGTTTCTCAACAAGTTGACGCGAGATTCGACCGGCTGTCGTAAATTTCCTAATGAGTCGAGCGAGAGTGCTCCATCCGCAAGTCGAACTTGTTCGAATTAGGGAAGTGGCGGGGACCCTAATTCTGAGTTCTCAATTAGTTCTGGTGCCTGTGGCAACAGATTCCATCCTTTGGCGGTGGCATTGCTGTAGAGCATAGAAGCAGCCTCTGTGAACGCTCATGGGCCGCAACATGCTGCTCGGTTCCGTGGTCTGCCCGTCTATCTCTTCGGCGTCGTCAAAATCCAGATCCAGGCATTATGCGACTCTGATAGCCGAGTTGCAGATATCAGCCTATACTTGGCAGAATCTCACGCCCATGCAATGGAGTTTGAAACTGCGGAAAAACGCGAAACTATTGATTATCTGCATAGTGAACCTCTATCCATGGAGAGGTTACTGATATGAGCTAATGTCTATTATATGGGATTCCTATCGACTACTGCATGGCCATTACGCAATCGATACTGTTCTCCATGGCCAGGACTGCATGGAGGGTGGTGCTTCATCCATCTATGCGAGCATAGTTGGCTGTCCTAGTCTGGTACTATGAGGCTTGTTTCTTCAACCTGAAGCGTCTTATTTGTTTAAATGTATCCAATACAACATTTATCAATGCATTTATTTGGTGTTTGTATTTATTGCTTACCGTTGTTAGGGCAAGCTATGGGACAGCGCTGTGCTATACATTGAGAGGTTGCCCTCAATTTGGATCAATGCCACACTGTAAAAATGATAGGTTCAGGCATTTCTTGCGCTTGAAGGAACTTACTATCTTGTTTGTAGTGTTGGAGGAGCCTGAAATTACTGTATAACACTTGGTATTTTGGATGATTTTCCATGATTGTGGAGCAATCTTGCAGTCTTGCGGGTATTGAAGCTTAAGGTATGGTCTATTGAATTGTCTTTAGGTATGGGGATTCTATGATATGATCAAATTAAGTGCAGTGGTTGTTGGTATGTACGCCCAAATATCTCAAGCCTAGTCCAAGCTTGGAAGATTCGAACTTCGAAGAAGCTCATCCAAACAAGAATGTGGCTTTCCCAGACGAATCAACAACTTCATCCAAACGAGTCATAGTTAACCCAAAGAAGTCCCATTCTTATTTCATTCTTCTTTTAACAGGGCTGGAGGCAGGAAATATGAAAGGCTAAGGTGGCTTCAGGTTGAAGAAGAGTAAAAAAAAAAGAAGAAGAGAGGATGAAGAGGAGGGTTTGGGAAATTTAGGTAAGAATATGATTTTTGGCATTTCTTTTGTTGATTGAATTTGATAGGCTTCAAGGCTTGAATGAGGAGAAACTCTTTCAAGATCAAAATATTATTTCAGATTATTTTGTGTTAGATTGGATTGTTGATTTAGGAATTTTTTTATATTTAGGAAATTATTATTTTAGGTTATTTATGAAAGGACAAGACTTTGGGGAAATATATATAAGAAAATTCATCCTGAGAAATATCTTGTGATTGAGATGTGATATTCAATATCTAATATATGGAGGAAATTATCCTTAGGCTTAATGTTTATTAATTTCTATAATTTGATCAAATTATTATATGCGTATAAATATAACTTTTTTCAGATGGAGCATGTCATTTGCACATGATGCTGGTAGTAAAATTATTTTATATTAAGGATCACTTGTTCAACTAATTTCAATATATTTGAAATAAACTCAATTTATATGATTGTTTAATAGAATATTCTACTTATTTAAATACCTAGATTTTGATTAATGCATGAAATGCTTTATCTTTGATGCATATTAATACAAGTTAATTTATGTGGATATCATTTTTAAATAATTTAAATGCCTATGATGATTATAGTAAAGTTATAGGAAGGCAATGAAAAGTCATGTAATGTGGGATAGTTTGGCAAATAAAGAAGTCCTGTGCAGAGAGATGCAAGTTATTGTCAGTAGTTTGTAAGCTCGAGGCTACATGTACCAAGGATAGAGACTTTGATCTTTTTATTCTTAAATTAGCAAATATTAACTATAGCTATAGAAAAAACCAGGAAGCAAATTGGTTTGATTTCTATTGAATCTCTCTCAAGGTTTCCTCTACCAAACTTATCACATAAATCCTCTATTCTTGATGGGCATTTTTCTGAATATCATATATATATATATATTATATTGTATCTTGATTTCATTAACCTCATTGTTTGTGCTGGTGGTTTGAATCTAAGTATACCAATGTTTTAGAGTTTAGTCTTCCTATGCATGAATTTGCCAATATTGGGCGTTGCAAGATAAAGAAGCAGCAAGAAGATTGGTTAACTTGCTCTGTAATATCTCACAAGCATTCTGCCTGCGAAACTTCTCAAATGAATCGTCTATTCTTGATATGCCTTGGTCTAAATATAGCTCTATGTCTTATATCGTATCTATAATTCTTTATCATCATCATTTGGGTTAGTGATTTTTAGGTTTGGGACTATATGTACCAGGGTAGAGATTTTGATCTATGTAGTCCTGTATTAGCCAATACTGCTTGCAGCTATAGAATAAGCAGAAAGCAAACTAGCAGGATTGCTATTGAATATCTCTTAAGTATTCTGCTTACCAAACTTCTCATTTAAATTATCTGTCCTTGATATTAGTTGGTATTGATGTTATTTTATATATTTTATTGTATTTAAAATTCATTATCTTTATCATTTATAGTAGTGGTTTGAACGTTTGAGGCTACATGTACCAAGGTTAGAGAATTTGATCTCTCTAGTCTTGAATTAGCCAATACTGGTTGTAGCTAGAGAAAGAAGGGGGAAGCAAACTGGTCGGCTTGCTCTTCAATATCTCGCAAGCATTCTGCTTACCAAACTTCTCACATAAATGTTCCATCCTTGATATACCTTGATCTAAATATCATCTTATATCTTGTGTTGTGTCTAAAATATTTTTTCATTATCCTTCATGTTATATTGGTCAGGATTGAGGCTTCTTGTAGCAAGTTCAGAGATTTTGATCTCTCTTGCCTCGAATTAGCCAATCCTAGCTGTAGCTATCACTAGAATCTGGAATCAAACTGGCTGGATTGTTCTTGAATGTATCTTAAGCATTTTGCTTACCCTACTTCTCATATAAATCCTCTATCCTTAAAATATCTTGGTATTGTCTTATTGTCTTGTTTATATCTAAAATTTATTATCCTCATCATTTATATGCTAATGTTTGGAAGTGTTGAGGCTACATATACCAAGGTTTTAGACTTTTTGGTCTCTCTAATCTTGAATTAGCCAATAATATCTGCGGCTGGAGAATGATGTGGGAAGAAAACCGGTCAGCTTGCTCTCAATATTTCGCAAGCACTCTGCTTACCAAAGTTCCCACGTAAATATTTTATCCTTAATTTTTCTTTGTTGAATATCTAATATATATATATATTGTATCTTACCACATCACTTATACTTGTGGTTTTTAGGTTTGAGTAGGTCGGTACATATGTCGTGCTAATTTAGTGGTTTGAAATTGATATTTATCTCTCTATATTATTGGAAGATAAATTGATATCTATTAGTGGATGAGAATTTTCTTGTGAATAATCCTGTGTGATTTCATAAACTTGTTTTTATCCCAAAATGATAATTTCTACTAAAGGTGATAAAAAGCATATGTGGGCTGTGACATAATGCTAGATTTATTGGTTGTTGATGGCTTTAATATTGTGGTTTACAAGTTTTGTTTTAGCCCGATAAAAAAAAATAAAATAAAATTCTGTTTACGGGCTTTCAATTTACTTATTAGGCAATCAGCATACCAAATTTCCAGAATTCACACATTATATATGTTAACTTGCTTTTCTTTTCCAATTTGATATGGGTGCTCAAAAAGAATTTATGGGTGTTAACCACTTTTGAATGTCTTTCTTGCAAATCAGTTGATGCTGTTGTTTCTCATTAATATTGTTAATGGTTTTAATGCCCATCAAACTATCGTGCTTTACGAGTGCTTTTTGTTTTTATGAATTATAGCTAGTTGGCTGTGGCATAATTAATTATGTTTCTAATATGACCTAATTATAAAAGGTCATGCAGTTATCATTTGGGAGATTCCATTGTTTTTAGACTTTTATTTTATTTATTTTAACTTACTTTGGACGAAATGGAAAGAATATTGTTATACCGATTTTCATGATTTTTTTAGGTGATTTGCTTTTGAGCTTTCTTAACCAGTACCTTTTTCCTTTTAGGATTCTTGAGAGCTACATGAAAAGAAATTGTGGTGTCAACCACTTTTCAATGGCCTTCTTGCATATCAGTTGTTCTTTTTTTTTTTTATTTTGTTAATAATCTGAGCAACAATGATGAAATCATCCGGCCAATTTGCTATACTACACTTCAAATTGTGTCACTGTCCCCACATGCTCATTTCAAAACATCAGACCTTTAGTTAGCATTTTTTTTCGATATAACTAGTTTGCTGAAAGTCATCAGCCTATTTAGAAGGATGGGTCAAAAACATTCCACAAATATGGATATGTTATCCATGTGTATAATTTATGGAAGAAGCCTTGAAATGTGAAATTGAACCATGAATTGAGCCTTGAAATTTGGAGGGCCAGCCACTTTTATTTTGAATGTGATTGGTTCAAACATAGCTCTCCAAATAAGAGTGTGCATTCAATTGATTTGGTTGGTTTGGTGAACAAATCAAATTTGATTATAAAATATAAAAAATCAAACAAACCAAACAATTTTTAAAACCAAAGCAAACTTTTTTAACCTATCTTCATGGGATTATTTGGATGTTGATGTACTTATATATTGGACTTGATTAATGCATTTAGTTTAGCTTGGTTTTATTTGCAGTTGAGGTCCTTCCTTGTTTGGGATGGCTCTGTGGCCTACCAATAGCAAATATTCTGAATACTTTTTTATCTATGATATGATGAAAACAGTTTTGTTGGTAGATGATTTCTGTTGTAATTTATCATTGTAAAATTTTACAATTTTTTTAAGAATTGTTGATAAACTAAGCATGTATTTTAAGAATTATTAAGGGATATGTTTTGCAGATGGATTTGCTTATAATATATTAATATATCAACAAGTATATCCACCATTAATTAAATCTTACATTATTATAAAAATTAGTGAATTTTTCTACTTGAATTCTGAGTGCAAAAAAGATTTTTGATTCATTGGAATCTAGAGCACAAGAAGTTTTTGAGGAGAAAAATATTTGATTTTTATGAATGGGGAACAATTTAATAATATTTTAGGGCTATATATGCAAATGTTTGAAAATTAAAAGATGAAGTCTATAGATATTCAGGCAACATCAGATTCAAGCATAAATTTAAAGAAAAAGAAGTTGATTGAGAAGGCATACTCATCAATTCGGTCACCATCATGCTTAATTTCTCTCTCAATCTTTCATTTGTTAACGTCCTCACTATGAATGTCTTTAACTTCTTGGGTGAGGAACGTGAGGTGGAGCAAAATGAATTGTATTAATTGATTATAACATGCAACGAAATTCGGCTTCTGCCAACTTTTATTTTTGTTGGTTTCTCAATGGGTGCTATCATTTATCTTCAGTTCATGCACTTGTGGAGCTAATTTTAATACCATGGCTTCCTAGATCGGTTGCCTGATGAACGTTGGCTTGGCAAAGGGCTTCCCTCTTTGTTCTCTTTCTTCCCCTTGAGAAATTTTACCCTCATCTACAAATCGGATTATGTTGGTATGCACCACTAGAACTCTTTGCTTCTCCTATTGAGCTTTAGTTGGGTTGTCTTTTTTAACCTAGCAAAGTTTTGCTAAGATATTTATAATATCATTTCATAAAAGCATTAACGGTTATTATATGTAATCATTATTGCGAACTCAAAAATATTCAAAATTTATATGATCATTCTCAGAACTAGGATCTTGTCATTTGTTATCCTTTGTTGTACAATTACTATGTTTTCACCTCTTTATTTATTGATTTTTCTATATATTTTTTTAATTTTTCTATCATTTTAAATACATAGTAAGATGTTGACTTCTTATTAGAAATAATGCATAACTATTATTAAAAGTATTTAATGTAGTTATATTCTTTATTTTGGGTTGTGTTTGGGGGGAGTGTTTGTCGCCATATTTGAAGATATGATTTTGTTACTACTTTATGCTAAGGAAAATTCTAGTAGGAATCCAAATTCTGCTCATATGCTCTCTTTGATTTAGTCCGGGCCTCTCCTATACGATGTCGATGTTTGTAACAACATTTAGCAAT